TAAGTAGACAGGGCAGTAAACCAACCCAGCATGAATCAAAGCCACACAAAATGGATAATGAGGGTCACACTTACTGAGTCTGAGCAAATTCCAAGAGCAGGTGTTATTGTCTGAGCCGAGATCTATAGAAACGATACATAGAAAAGTCTATAAAAATGTTTGAAAATGAAACAATCTGGGTAGAGAAAATCACACTAATGTGTCCACACTGAGGACATAACCTGTAACGAATGCTCACAAGCAGACATTGTCTCATTTTGATAGCTAACAAGCAACAATGGTTGAATCTGTGTGTGCTAAGAAACAAACAGACATTCCCTCCTTAGCATCACCCACAGAAAAGAAAAGCTCTAGTTAGGACGGACACTGACAACAGTGAACAGCACAGTACGTATATGTCCTTCTGCCTGGAGGGTCTCTGTGCTCTCTTCTTCAACATCCAACTAAAGAAAGTGAAAGATTTTGTATCATCATCTTATAAAGGCTTGAAGAGCATCACATAGTGCTGGGGAGAGAATAAACCAAATTGGAGCAGGTGGAGAAGTGAGAAGTGCGAGACAGGTTGGGAACACTTGAGTTAAGTACAAAACCAGCAGCAAAAGGGGGCATCTGGGCAGAGCCCCAGAGCTCCAGGGGTCTCATTTATAAAGCAATACATATAGGTTCCATACTAAAGCCCAAAATGGCATGCCCCAAAAAATATTCAACAATTTCTACATTCAAGCTTCCACCTCATCATCTGCGTCACCAGTTTCCTGTCTCCAAAACACACGTAAGCAAATTTCTCCCATCAAGTCTGTTTTTATAGATCACAGGCGTGCGCCTCTTTCAGTTTTTGTGCTTACGCAGTGTTTACAAATGAGACCCCAGGAGGCCTGAGAACTCCAACCACACTTCAGTTTGGGTCAGCTAGTTAGTGCTCATTTAATTAAAATTTTGTTTGAGAACATGCACCATCAAACTACAGTATCAGCTGACCCAGGACCCAGGACAACATCTTAAAGAGTAATTTGGATATTTTCCTACTTGGACCCTATCATCCAACATTTTTGTGTCTAAATGAAACAACATCTTTTTGAAACTGGTCCATTATTAAAAAAGAATGCTGCAGTCCTCAGCGCCCAAACAGGCTGCAATAGAACCACTCAGGACAAGTTTGCACTGTCAATATAAGTCCACTAAAATGCTTGTTTTTACCACTGACAGGCTCAGATAGTTATAAAGTGTGTGGCTATTAAGGGAAGGATCCCTACAGAGATAGACCTTTTTTTTTTTTATTGAAGAGAAAGATCCTTCTCCTTTAGGCAGACACCGCCCAAAAAGCCTCATCACCAAACCCACCAGACTCCATTTCAATAAACAGTAATTTTAGTGTGTATAGAGCCAGCATATTTTCACATAACTGGATGAATTAATTATATATTTCAAACAAACCAGAGTTGGTTACTGTTGGGACATTTTACCGCTGTGGACTTTGAATGATATATGTTTTATGATGTTAAAATGACTGTTTGCGTGAATGGAGTCTTGTGTGTTTGGCGGATTTCGGGGCTGTTTGGGGTTAAACAAGAAAGGATCTTACTCTTTAACAAAAAAGGTCTATCTCCATAGGGATCCTTTCTATAATTTTTTTAGAAACTTCAAAAAATCTGAGCCTGTTGGCGACAAAAACAAACACTTTTAGTGGACATACACTGATGGTGCTAACATGCCCCGAGTGGTTACAATGCAGCGTATTGCACAGTGACCAGCTGTAGTAATGTTGCTCAATACTGGATCAATTTCAAAAAATGTTGTTCCCATTAGTAACTTAGACACAAAAATATGGGGAAATGGTGCCCAGGTTGGAAAATACCAGACTTAGTCTTTAAGGTGAGTCCTGCTCTATTTCACAATCCTGACATACTATAATGAAATAAAGGGTCGTTGTGTCCAAATCTAGTTACAAGATTATTCTTCCAGTTATGTTTATACATGTTGTTTACTCCTACACTAGTTTGTGTCCACATTACCACATGGCAAACTTGAGGCCAGATAGTATTTCACATTGCATGGAGAGTTTTATGAATGAGGGTCTAATGGGGAGCCTCCTGCTTGTCCTGATTATTCTAGCATAATGAAGTAATCCAGAAATGAAACCACAACCAAAAGTCCATGACATCAATAAAAAAGATTTCAAACTAAAGTTTCCCAAGTTTACACATCTACTACTGCATTAGATTTCCTGTGCTCTGCTGTCCTAACTTCCTCACCTCTGTGTGGTAACCAGCCCCATTAGGTCGCTCCTTTTAACACAAAAGGATCCACGTGTCAGTCAGTGACGGGGTGAACTGTGATTAGGAACACAGTCCTTTGGCAGCATTTCACCACAGTGTAAGAGGATGAGAGGCTGTTTAAAGCTGTCTGTCAAACGGGGCCTACATGCTAAACTCAGGGGACTTTCATCAGTGATGCCAAGCATGCTTCATCTTATTGTACAGCAGTGGGAATAAAAAGAAGCAGCCCTTAACTCATAACTGATCCAGACAAGAGTTTTTTGTCTGCAATAAGCCACGCGTCAGACAGATGGGATATCTGCAACACAGAAGCGAATTTAACACAATCATGGATGTAAAGATTTTTTATTTGCCATCTGTAATTTTCCACTTTGGTATGATGAACGCTGACTTCCAACAGACATCAAATCATTAGGATTAGCCAAACCCAGATCTTCAGACCTTGAGAACATGATGTGCACTCGCACTTCTACAGAAAAAAAAATTTCCATAAAGCACACTGGTTCCTGTGCTCGGTTTCCAAGACTACTACCTCTCGACAGAGATTAACCTGGCAGCCTGAGGACAGATCCATCCTTAAAGCCTTACAACATACTGCTTCCACATACTGCACCTGCAGCACCTGGACCCAGCAGGCCACAACATCACATGGCTGTAAAACAAGCAGCTTTGTCTTCTTGGTGCAGAAATCTTACACTTAGTGGAGTAAGCGAGCTGTCTCCTGACTGCTGGCACTGCTCAGAACCCAAGAAAATAGGGATGATAGTACTACTACAGCAAAAGAACGCAGAGGAAATTACAACTCCTCACTTCATCGCATCACTTCCAGTTTTTGCAGTTTTTCCTTACGAGCCACCTAAGAGTGCCATGTCTAGCTGTCTGTCGCATGTTGTAAATAGAGGCTGCTTCATTAACAAACACCTCGTAAGGTGGAGGAATGCTGATGTAAGAAAGAAACTGCAGGGCCCCTAATGGCAGCGGCCGACAATATAATCAATTACTCTAATTTTGCAGGCACAATGCGCGGAACAAATGGCTGCGGTTCAGACTTGGCCAGGTTTTATGGGCCGAGGCAATGGATGAAGGGACGCCCGTCATTGTTTTAAAGGGTGACAGAGGTGACGAGTGCAATTAACCCCAATTAACAAAGGAAAGGAGGGACAAACTTCCCTTAACATGAGGAGGAAGAGGGTGGTCATCACAGGAAGGCATTCATATCCTCTGCACAGTGCAATATATCTGACTGCTTTAGAAGAGTACAAAGTGGATACAAGAGTCGGTTGTAAACTTCCTGTTTCGTGGCAAGACAGAGAAAGTTTACGCCACGGCCACACCGCTCAACAAAAACTAAAGCTTTAAAGAACTTTTTATCTCGAAGGTCTTTAGATAACAGACTAAATGTGAAGTAGATCAGATTAAATCTCAAGGAGAAAGTGGTTTTTAACTTGTTCCAAGCCTGAATGCATTTACTGTACATGCCACTATTGATTTACAGTCAGAGCGCCACCTACTGGCAACAGGAAATGTGATTTTTCATACTTTGATGTACTTCTCCTCGCTAGTTGGCCAGAACAACCTCAAATTTGGGCAAAAAAGCTCTAAGATCTTGACGATGCCTTAGAGTGGAGATTGTGACTTTTCGCTGAGTGGCTTTGCTGTGGTGGCGCAGCGTGTTTCGATGTTTCAACATGAAAAATAAACTACTGTCACTAGACTCCACACATTCCCAGTCCCAGCCTCAAGACATCTACAGAACTCCTCCTAACAACCTGACCAGATCCACCTCGGGTTTGTGTCTAAAACCTTAAGACCTTGATGATGCTTAATGGTGAAAACTGTGAGTTTTCGTTGCCAAGGTAGCGCTGAGATTTCAGTCTTTTGACATGACACAGGAAGCTTTTGTAACGTGACTCTATATGGTCCAATCAACCCAACATTTTCCATGTTAGATAACCATGTCAGCCTCCAGAAATCACATCCAAACATCAGGGAAAATACAACAGCTTGAGCAGATAATCTTAAAGTGATACAGCACACTTCACCTGCATCACACAGTCTTGTGTAGAGGAATGCAACCTGCTCCTCATACTTAACTGACTATGGTTTACTATGGTACTATGGTTTCCCCACTGCATGCACAGGAGCCTAAATGCATCCCAGATAAGAGAGCCCCTGTCAGTCATGTGAGGTTACGTCCTTCATCTGACTCAACTAGGCATCAATTGGAGATGCTAATGATGATGATGTTGATGATGATGATGATGATGATGGGAGAAAGTGATGATGGGAGGGGGCATGGTAAACAACCGAGCAGAGGTTGCGTCAAGATGCTTTCAGGAGCTAAACGCCTCCTGTGTGATAACAAACAGCGTATTCCTTCAGCTTTGCCATTGACCGCGGATAACCTACTTGTCTAACGGTAATTAGCTCAGTGTGCTGGTTCTTCACTCCACTCACACAGGCTAAATATGTGCCAGTGGGTATATTTCACTGAATACACACCGGGTATCGCATTCAAAACAGCCGACGCGTCACCCAGACAGCCTTTTTCTCCACATAGAGGAGGTAGAGAAAGGTTTAGCTAGCTAACAGGCTAAGCACCTTTACGTCCAAGAAACGTCAATAATAAAAAAAAAAATACCTGGAAAAATCAAAGTAAGTCATTCCGCTTTGGACATACAAGCGAGCTGAATGATGGGTAAAATGATAAACAGTGTGTCTCACCTGTTTAAACGCGTCTAATAATCCGCAGCTGTGTATTCCATCCCCGTTATGATGAAACGGTTTGACAGTGGTAAAGACTGCGCTGCTGTGGTGGCCCTGATGTCGCCGTGCTGCTCGTCGTAGCCGCTGCGTGTGATGGCGTTAGCTCTGCAGGGCCACAATGAAACTACTGCTGCCTTCACGAGCTGTCGGTAATGTCAGCGAGAGGCAGGGGCACACAATTTACACGGGCAAACAAAAGGTTGTGGGTTACGTAGAGGGTGTATCTGAGCAAACAGAACAAGTGGGGCCCGTATTGTTTTTAACAGAGCTGTTAAATGTGATGTTCGAATTACAAAGTCGGCAAAAGTCATGATAAATTATAGTTGATAACCCAACAGCCCACATTAATAATAGTCCATGCGACACAAATTAGTCTTCTTAAATATCTCCTTTTGTGTGTGTTTTCAAAAATCAAACAACTGCCGCTATTACAGATGAACTTTGTTACTTTTGTTTGGGAATATGTTGCTTTTATTGCCACACTTGATTGTCCTGAAAACTCAGAATCCGGAGCTTTTCAGAAGCAAGTGAAGATAACATAACGGGCCCGGTCCGTTGACTGGCAGGACACCTGTCCAATCAGAAGACAGAGAGGGGTGAAGGTGGGTGGGACATGGATGGAAGTGCTAAGTGTGGATGTGTATAAACAGATTTCTTTGATTAGGATGTCTAGTAAATCTGTGACAAAGTTCAGGATGATTTTATACACATATTACATCAAAATTAATAGATCTTTATTAGCTGGGCAAAATAACTTAGAGGCAAAAAACACAAAGTATGTCAAGGTCTTATTATAAATATGGTAACATAGAAACTACCAACAATCTAGTTCTGTTGTGATATTTTGACAGTTTAATTTCTAAAAGGTCTAAATGTAGGATAGTTTTTGTAACAGTTGGTAAATGAGCTGCTATATATCTGACTAATGAAGGGATAAACAGCTGTATGAGCTGCAGTGTGTGTTTTGATTTTTACTTGACGTTAGAGCGCCATCTCCTGTTTACATGCAAAGCTGCACTTTAATGAGAGACAGCAGCAGGCCGCCTCAGGACACAGCTGATTTTTTATAAACATATGTATCCATTTTCCTTCAGCTGTTGTTATTGTTGCTGGAAGTATAATGTGGTTTGTGAACTGTAATGAGCTGAACGTTGTGTATGGGGTGAAGTGTCTATTTGCTAAGATAATGGGGCATCTACTTTGAGGAGGTTCTTCCCTGGTCATAGCAACATGAAATAGTATGAATGGAAATTGAGGGTTTTTTTTTTACACATTTGATTACTGTTTGTAGTTTGTTCTTGTTAAATTATTATGTCATAATGGCTTAAAGAGCTGCTGATCTTGTACACACGTCTGGGTTTCAGTGTTGGTGTAACTGATGTTTCAGGGGCACTTCTTAGAACAAAATTTTGCTGCACACAATCCTAACTTGCTGAATATAGCAGAGGTGTGGACCTTAGTTACATGTCTTGGACTGGAGTCCAAGTCACAAATTTAATGACTCTAGACTCGACTTCACAAAATCAAAAAGACTTGCAACTCGACTTGGCGTTTAACACCAGTGACTTGTGATTTCACTTGAACTTGAGCCTTTTGACTTAAAAGTACTTGATACCTTTCCTCAAACCCAAAAAAAGTGAGCCACGAATCAGCTCATTTCCTTAAACAACTAACATTAATGCTAGTCCAAGTTAAAAATTGAGCATAGTGTTAGTTCAGGTAGGACAGATGTCAGGCTCTCAAACAGCCCAATCAACTGATGGATTAGCCGATTGATGAAAGGGAGTCAGCTGATAGATCACCTGATTCCGTTCTGCGCAACCAATTGGTGAATCTCATTCAGGGCGCCCTATTGAAACTGCTCTGGCCTGCCTACTGTTGCTGCTTCCTCTGCAGGCCACTTTGCAGCCTTCCTCCACCACAGCTCCTCCTTTTCATGTTGTGTCTGACTTGTAAAGGTCATTTCATTTGTCACTGAAGTTCGCTCTGTTACCTTGGGTTTTCCACGCAGGCGTATGGAAGAGGTTTTCTGCGTAGGCCTAGGAAAGGCAGAGAGGCCCCAGAACAGAGCCATACTGCAAAATATCATACTGCAAATGGAAATAAAGTTTTCTTTGACTAAAGTGGTCCTGACTGAACCTAACTTTGTTTAAACCAATTTGATGGCATCCAATCAAGCTACGGGAGAGAACCATGAAGAACTAACGTTACATTAAGGAGCACTAGGGTGAAATAATGATGGCAAAGATACACACATATACACACATATGGTGTGGGAGTGGTTGGAGCTTTCAAGGCGCCTGGAGCTCATGCAGCAGACTATTTGCCCCTTTTGCTGCTGGCCTTGCACTTCACTTAGTTGTTCCAAACCTGTCCTGCAGTCTTAGGATCCCTTTTTCTCCACCTTTTGTAAACACAGTGGTCAACAAAAACACTAATTGCAGAATGCTGAAAATTACAGACTGAGACAAGACAAATTCAAGATAGATAGATCGATAGATAGATCGATAGATAGATCGATAGATAGATAGATAGATAGATAGATAGATAGATAGATAGATAGATAGATAGATAGACATATGATAGTATGATAGTGACAGTCCGGCTGCCACTGAGCATACACCTCTGCATAGAGGTACATATTTTTTAAAAGAATTTATGATTTTTGTAAATTTGATATTCTATTACTCTGTTATTAAAATGACATTATGACTTGTTTAGGACTTGAAACTCAAAGTTTGGGCCTTGGGACTTGACTTGCGAAATGACAGTCTTGACTTTGGATTTGAGTGTAAAGACTTGAGACTTACTTTTGGCTTGAAAAACAGTGACTTGGTTCCACCTCTGCTGTATACTACTGTCTCTTAGAGCTGTCAGACAGTATACAATGAGTCTGCAACCACCAACATGGAGCCACAGGTCTTTTCCATAACAGGCATTTTCACATCATTGCAGGGCTGTGTTCCATTTAGATGAACCAGCTTTATGCGCTTGGTATTGTGTATGCTGCTCACTGCAATGACTGACTGGAAATGATTAATATAACTGAGCCATCATTAATGTTATTCATTACCTGTGCGTCTCCTGCTGTGAAGAGTTTGAGGCCTATAATAAGGGCTACGTAACATCTCAACAGTGTGAATGAAATCTTGTTGATCTATTTCCATTTTAGTTATTATCGCTGTTGATATTACAGTATGCTTTATGATATGTGATGCCATACAAGGTTATTTATTGACTGAATTATGACCTACATTTGAGAGGTTTTCATGTTGTCAGCTACTTAAAAACACAAATATAGTCACACCTATTGTGCCAATCTATTTTTAACGTAGTAGCAATATGGAGTATCTCACAATCCTCCCATGACTCAGTAAATAGGACAGGTCATCTTGGCTTAAACAACCACTAAACATACTTTATTTGTCTAGTCGGGGTCTTTATGTCATATCGTCATCTTAAATGCTGTTTCAAATGGTTTTTACCTTCATCAGAATTACATTTTCTTTTAAATTCTCTGTGAAAAATTAATGACACAACTCATAAACACTGGCACATTATCTATCAGCAGCCTCAGTACAAAGCCACTATCAGCACAAGACTTGGAATCTTCATATCAGTCAAACCATATCATTTTATGTTTGTGCTATAAATAACGTCTGTACTTGTGATCTTTGAATCCTGCCTGCCACAAGTTCAATACAGCAGCAGTGACCTAGTGTGACCGCAGAGGGAGAACGGTGGTGTGGTGGTAAAGCATTTGCGCACTCAGAACCTCTGCTAATAGAAGAAGCAGTTGCTGTCCGATGTCTGCAGGCCGCTCAGTCAGTGTTGACAGCACATGCTGCCCTCTGCCAGCTTCCCACAGATCATAACCTACAGCTGCTGCTGTTTGGCTGGATGGAGTCGTGCACTGACCATCAATCACACGGAAATAATGAAACTCAGCAACATCATCACATTACATGTTGACATGGTATGGTGAGATAGAATGGAATAGGGTTATCAATATACTATGTCTGCATTATTGTCACTATAATGATAAGATTCTGAGTATTTGGAAATCAACATTGAGTTATAATGTATAATAATACATCTCATAATAATAACATTTTACTTTTACTTTCAATGTTATATCTTATTACTGTACATTATTGGGCATTTATTACATTTTAGATGAGTCAAAGGAGACACTTTTGACTCAGATGAAAAAAGAACCTTTTTATGGAGATTGAATTTGCCTTCATTACTCGCTTGTGTTATGTTATGTTTGCCATCTTCTGATGGTGTCTAAACTAAGATCTACTCTAATCCTTTGCACATTGACCAGTCAGTTTGGGTATAGATGGGATCATTCCCTGTTGATAGGGATTTTAGTTTAATACATCTTTGCCTGATAACAGTGTACTTGACATCTGTTGTATGGTGACTACTGGTAAAGTGGGACAGTTAAGCTTCAACATTTTTATCTTTACGTGTATACACTTCCATCACCACAAATCAAGTAAGTGATGAATAACATATAGGTTTTATGGCTATGACATCACTTCCAGTGCCATGGCACACCACATTCAACAACCTTGCTGTAAACCACGATGTAAAGCAAAATGACATCGTATTCTGAGGTGAATATCAAAGTTAGGGACTGTTCCTTACTTACGTGGGGGGTGGGTGGTGCAAAAAGGGGGAGGCATGTCAGAGGCATGAAGAATTTTTTTAAGCACTGGAGAGGGACTGTTTTGGCTCAAGGTCGGAGCATACAAATTTAAATGGCTGTATTTTGTATTCATTTTACTGCAGAACCGCCATAACCATTCCATTCATCACAGCCAGTAAGTGTAAAAACAGAAATTATTGTTACACTTTCAAATGCAACGGCCCTTGGACACATCATGTGCGATAAACGCTTCTGTCAGAAAAAGAACATAACCAAATCTGAGCTTAGAATAGTGGTGTTTTCATGGCCAAAAATAAACCATTTGCACACACTAACCAGCATGAATGACAGAAGTGAAAAACCAAGGTTTTTTTTTAAGTCCAGGATTTCATCTTCACCTTTTAACTTTCAAACATCGAAGGCTAAGTTTTAAAATTCCAATAACTAATTTATGGTGGAGGGAGG